TTTTTCCTTGATCGAAACTTCTCTTTCACTTCGTTTCACAGCCGTTCGATTCACGGCCAAAGCACGGTAATTAAAGGAACTTTATAGGACGTTTCCATTTCGCTGGATTCGGCTCGAGGTACGCGCCACGAGTTGAATTACTGCAAGAAAGGTGAAATGCCGATGTCGTATCGCAACGTTCGACTTATAATTTCAAAACTTCTCTCTTTCTCTCTTATTTCGTTTTTCTGCCTCGTGGACACGAAGCACAGCTGCTACACGCAAATTGCAAACAAACCCGTCGACGATAAACAATTATCGCCTCTTTTGTAGCGATTAATTTCTTCGATGGAAGGAGTACGACGTATTTTCAAACCGAAAATTTGCTTGAAGTTAGATCGATGGATCGGCGAAAAGATCGGCACTCGATCGTACGATAATTTTGTCCCGGTTTTCTCGCTTCGACTGACGACCGATCGGTTTCCTTCAGTCATCCGAATCTTCTCCGTCCTCTCGCAAAGCGCCCCCTTTCTCACGTTCCACTTCGATCGATGAAAAGACGGAAAAATTCACGGCACAGAGCATCGGTGCTCTTTCGAATTGGACTTTTCACCGAGGTATCTCTAAATCAGCGCCCTCGCGTCTACGAGAGTTCATTCTCGGCGCCAGCTCGCGATCCGGCTATCGACGATCGCTTTCCCCTGTTGCTGCCAGCATCATCGAGACTGCTCTCGATTATCGCGTGCGGAGATTCTAATTGCGCTCGCCGCGAGATTAGCAGAATCTGATCCGGTTTCGATCAAAATCACCGATCCCGATCGATTAATAACGATTGGAAAGGACCGGATGCTGAGCTCGCTATCTACCTCTCCGGCGTCTCGGACTTGAGAGCCCAGGACTCTTCCGGTCCTTCTTCTTGCGACACGCTCCGTTGTGTCTGACATAATGGACCGTTGTTCTCTCACGAACGAGACCTCAGCCTTATAACCGACTCCTAAGCCGCTGATACCTAGTCTCCGCTCGTTCTTTCTTCGCTGCAGATTGCGGTAAAATGACCGTGGTAAAATATGTAATGGAGCGATCGTGATTGGACATCTATTTTGTAACCTTTTTATTGAGTTATTGGCCTTTGGGTTTTTTAATTCCGATCCACTAGATTTTTACGCGTTTATGAGAAATTGAAAAACGCAGAAAGAAAAAAAAGACAGAAATTACACGCAAGTTTTAATTATTTTTTACGACTGTGTGTTAATATTTTGATATGGTTGTTCCAGTGTTAACAGACATTTCCGTTTTTTCATTTATATTAATATGTTTGTTAACCAACCAAAGTCAAGTATACCTACGTGTGTATATGTGTTACATCCGCCGTGAAAGTATACATAATTGTATACATGCGTGTAGAAATATATAAAATGCTTATTTTACAATACGTATGATAGAAAGCAATCCACTCCTTTAAATGCGTTCGCGAAAATACGAAACTGCGTAATGATCCGCAGTCTACTAATTACCTTCCTTACCTTTTATTGCAATCGTGTCGCAAATAGAATACGAATCTGTCTTCTGATTAGAGTAATATTTTATTTCATAATTTTCCAAGCGTAGTACGTGGTCGTGTAGCTACGTAGAAGCGAGAAGATTGATTGACGTGTCAGCAGGTAGAACTCTATCGCAGGTGAAAACGTAGAAAACAACGGCGATATAAATAGTACGAAGTATGTACCTGCTGGAACGATAACGGCTGGAAAAAAAAAAATTCAAATTGCCGCGATATCGCGCGTATCGTGGTGGCCAATTGTGTGTACAATCGCTCGTCTATTAACTCCGTTTCCCGGCGAACGCGCAGACTAATGTGTCATCGGTAAACTCCGTATCTCCGTTTCAATTCCGCGCACAGCCACACACCCATTCATTCCGGCTGGCTTTCAATCAGGATGCCTCGACCTCTCCTCGTGGAAGATGAAATATCACCGCTAATGGACTGTTCAATTAAATCGCTCTTCTCGAGGAAAATAAATCCATCAGCGAGAGACACACCTCGGGAGCGAGTTTAACGGTAGACTCGATAGAAAAGTCGTTCCACGGTGGATGAATGTGTATTTCACGCGAATTTTCCAGCCGTGGAAAATGAGCGTGTCGAAACCGATCCGAAACCTCGATCGAAACTCCCGGATCAACCGCTACAGGATTTTCCATCGCGGTGAATCGGATCAGATATGGACGTAAGCGTCGTTAACATGGCAAACAATGCACGAGGAGGACACGGCCACACGCATCCGCTGCAGACGCGGTACTGCACTCTCGGGCGTAATGAGCCGACGCTCGTTTCCCGACGAGATCGCTCCGCGCTGGCTCATTAGCTTTCACGCCGAGCTCGTACGTGTTCCGCGCATACGGCCGCGTATAAACACTCGGGGATACGCTTCCGAGTTAGCATCGCGAAATATTAATTACCACGTGCTGTCTAGCAGCCAGCCTGACACCTGTTCTGATCTTCGATCTTCTCATCTCGGTGTGCAAGATTCAACAATGTTTCTCGGAACGAGATAACAGACGGCATTGAAATTAAAATCGAGATAAGAATAAATCTCGAATCTCGAGATTCGAAGGCTTTGATAAAAATAGAAATATACGCCAAGCGCGTAACTGTGAGGACGGAACATCCTGAGCTCGGTGAATGAATAAATATCGCGTCGGTCAATCGAAGGGAACGGAACGGAGCGAGGCTGCTCTGAATTCCTCTGTCGGCTGTTGGCTTCAAGCACGCTCTCGAGCGCGCGATAAACGATCGATAAAATGATTTCGAGGCATTTATATCGGCGGTCGGCGACGATCCGTGTCGGTGAACCCATGTCACCGGCTGTCAATATTAGCTGAGCGGCCGAGGCGCGCGATCGATTCCTCGAGACAGGCTCGTGACGCGGAACGACAGGATATCGGCTCGATAAGATCGCGCGGCGCTCGATCATCCGTTCGATTTCCTCGGGTTTCCCGGCGTAATTGGAGAAACGATTGAAACCGAGCAGAATTAAGCGGTCGCGAAAAGATCGCGTTCGCGGGATCTGAAGCCAATTAATTAGACGGCGTTCGATCTCCTCCGATCTCCTTCGAACGGCGATCGCCGGGGAACGATTGCAACAGTATGGAACGAAACGAAGCAGAATTGGAAAATATCGAAAGAGAGGAGAACGAAAGCGCCGACGATCGAGGATAATAATTACCTAATTGACGCATTTGTCGTCGCGAGATCCTCCAACCAGAACGAGACGAATCGTAAGCAAAGATGCTCTTCGATGAACACAGAATCGCTATAAACTCGTACATGTAAACCACTCAGTCAAGAGTTTTGACTTTAAGCAAAGATTGAGCGAACCAGAACCAGATTCCTGCTTTCGCTGGGAGAACGTATTTAGATCTCGGACTTCTCAAGTAGGAAGGAGATCGGCGGATCAGTCCGAAGATATCGCGACGTCACTGGCACAGAATTGCACTGGATTATTCTACCAAGCAAACACAAACGCAAATATTTCCTAGATGTACACTTTGGACAGACGCGTGTCTTTTTCCATAGATCCCCGTTTCATTGGAATTTTATTGCCAAACTACGATACTTCGTTTCGATATTTCACCATTTGTACGTTGAAACGTGCGGCGATGCATGCATCGGATTCAACATTACTGTCAACAATAATAGGAGGTTTTATGTTAATTATAAAAAGCAAGGAATTTTAAAGAAAAACAAAGAATTAAGTAGGCTTAAGAAGAAACGGGCAAATTGGTGGCTAGTCCAAGCGTTAAAAGAGCCGAAGACGTGAGTGTTTCTGCGTGAGGCTAAATCAACGATGCGAAAAGAATCGCGTGAAACGAAACGATGATAAAGCCCTGGAGGCGGAAGGTGATGCCGCCGGTCTCATATCTGCGAGCGAACGCGGATAGAGACGTCTGGCGATTTACGGTTCCCTCCGGTTCATCCTATGAGCTGTCGCTTGATTTATGGAAGCTCCGGCGATCCATGGAATAAGTAATCGATTCAGCGTTGAATAAATCGTGCCGGAAAAGTCGCTACGAGGCCCTTCGCGATGAGAGAAAGCGGACGTGGATCGGGCGAGAGAGAACGATGATTGATCGTGGCGACGCTGTTAGGAAATTGCGTGCAGTCAAGTTCGGTCAACTCTCTGCGGATCGCGAACGACGGCTCGACGTTTTCACGACGGTGGAATCGATGCGCGAAGCGAGCGCGTCGAGGTCAAAGTTCAGACCGCGTTGCCATTATTTTGCTACTATTCAAAAGTGACTTTATTGACTATAAATACTACGACGAGCGCGTTGGAAGTTTTAAACGAGCGTGTGCGTTTCGACACGACAAACCGGCATGTCGTATTGTACGTAATTATTAACAGCCTTCTCCTATATACTAGTAAAACACTTTAATGTTGTGAATCTAATGTCACTCGATATATCATCACCCGCTTTTTAACGTGCCACTACAGAGACGAGAGATCTTGGTCTCTTGACAAATGTTTTTCTACGTGTTTCATTAGTTTTTGTTCCTTTGGCATTCGTTTTTTTCAGTCTCTCGGAGAAAAGAGGCCACCCTGCTGACACTGATCTCACCATGTTGAACCTGAATTTTCAGCAAGATGTCGTCCTATTCGACATATAGATCTGTCGTTTCTGTCGTTTCAGTACTTGAAAAAGAAAAATTATAAATTTTCACAGACGTATTTATTTACGTGAATTACGAAACGCTTGTCAAGAGTTCAAAGACTCTTATTCGCGGTAATATTCACTCAACGTAATTGTCCACTTTCTAATAATTCTCATCGGTTTAAACTACTCGATCATCGGACCCACTCTTAATGCCACTGGCCAAGCAGCTTATTTCTTGTCGTCGTCGTCAATTAATCGCGACTCGTCGCCCATCGAGTGGTTATCGTGGCTTGCCACGAGTTATCACAAGGGACAGGCACGCGAAGGACACTGGGGACCAGATGAATATCAATATTCTCGTCACGATCTGTACCGTTCTCGAGTGAACCCATCGGAATTTAAAGTCGGTGTTTACCTTGAACGAGCCCCGTGTACACGGTAGCCGGACTCGTAGGCGGAAGAAACAACGAGCCCCTTTGTTTGGGCGCCTCTATGACGAGTTCTGAGAAATCGGTCTTCTCGAACCTTCCTTCTCCCTCTCTCTCTCTTTCTCTCTGTCAAGCTGTGTCTTTTGTCATTACCGTGGAATGTCAGCTGAGAATCATTTACAGTGGTAATTGCTCCGGCAAAATTGAGTTCTCGGACGTTGGGACGGGATTAATCGAAGTCTGCAGTCGCCGAGCGAAGTTCGCCTTTCTGTCTCCATCGCCGTCTCCTGTTTTGCTCGTGCATCTCTACCCACGAATATCCAATGAAAACATCTTTAATCTACCCCCGACGCGTTGAATAAACTAGATTTATGTGTTATTCCTCGCGATCGAAGGTACGGCCAGACGTCAGACACTGCTGGTTGGTAGGCTTTTACGATTAAGTAGAAATCTCCTCCGGAGTTCAATGTTGCGAACATCCTGTTCAACTTAATGGTCCAGATGGACGCGAGCCAGGTCTTAGATTTTTTGCCGGCCGATCGATTATCATCGTTTACGCGCAGATTGGATCGATGGCGGTGTTTCGCCGTTTTTGCTCCCCGTTCGCCTCTCTCACTAGCTATTTCGCGATGCGTTGGGCACAACCGCGAAGATAAATAGTTCCGAGGGGAAGAACATTCCGACGTGTTTCGTAAAATATAGGAATATTTCATATTCGTCGGAAGAATGGTAATTTAGTGAGGAACGATGTTGAACTCAGAGCGAGTTACACGGAAACGACGTGCAACTCACGCCGGATGGACATCTGCTCATCACATTTGGACGATTTCCGACATCTTCGCAATAACTCTCGTAATACCGGTCCGCCAAACGGACCTTTAACGTCAGCGGTCGAGACTTCTAAGGCGTTTAACAGTATGCCCTTTCGCAATTCACAACCGTTAACAGCATCGAATTCTCTTTTCTCGCTCGACGCCGCTCTTTCCTCGCCACCTCGTAGTCACTGCACTTCGTAGTCTCCATTAACTTAAGTCTTAAAAAATCGCATTTTCCGTTATCCTTTGTCTTCCGACGCTTCGAAATGACTATTTAGTTCCCACCATTCGCCTTCTTTATTTTGCTTCATTACTTTTCCATCCGTGGTGGTTGGCTCGCAATCTACCTCCCTCATCTATCTTTCTTTCTCCCCGTTCCCTTCTTCGTCTCCTTTCACTCCCTCCCGTCCTCCCGATTCGTCTCTTTTCAAGCCTTTATAATTACCGCGCCGTCTACTTCTTTCTGTGTTCTCTCGTTGCTCTCGTTAGTTTTTCACGTGCGTGCACATCGTCTGTATGCTAACGACGCTCTCAAAGATCGTTCCCGCAATCGCGGGTTCTCCATTGACACGGTTGAACCTTTCGGAACTGGATTTCTCGTACGAGAGCAACGATGCAACAACATGCTCGAGAACAACGTTAGCCTGTTTCTCGCGGAGAGAGGATTCTCGTTAATTTAACTGCATTGATTAGAATCTTGATTTAAAAAGAAAGAGAGAAAGAGAGAGAGAGAGAGAGAGAGAGAGAAGAATACGACTGATCAATTCCTTTTCTTCCTACGTGTCAAGCTATTGATTATAGCTCGGTTCGCCATCTCGAATGAATCGTATTATGATAAATTACACATATCAGGCCAACTGTAACCGGCATTACTCCCGACGTGGTACTTAATAACAGTCGGAGCACCATGTTAATTAGCATTCGGTATCAATAATCGATTGTCGGATCAACGAGTTAGAGTCCGTGGTGTGACGGTGTGGTATCTGGTAACGTTGCCATCGATTCAATTCTGTCGGTAGCTGTTTAAATCGACGAAACTAATAATAAAGCGTATTATGCAATAGAACGCGGTAGACGATCTCACGGATGAAATAATAACCGGTCGGTGGCGATGGCTGTGCTCAAAAGGGATTAAGCGAGGCCTGCCGCCTCTCGCGATCGTTAATTATCCTCGTGGCAGATATTTTCCGTGAAGCGTGCCGCAACGACCGCTCCATCAAATCGACGTTTCCTAATTGGTTCCGAGGAAATTGTTAATACGTCGGTCGTCTGGACGCCGGGGGTTCATCATTTCTCCTACGGTGGCGGCGGCGGCGGCGGTTGCTGCCATTTAATCAGCGCGCAAATTCCCACGGATTGGCAGCATCATTTACAATTAGTCTTCGTCATCCGGTTCGGCATTAATTTCTAGAACGAGCGTGCTCGCGCGCCGCGCTCCATCGGGCAAGGAGAAGCGCACGCGCGTGGAGGCATTTCGCAGTAAATTTCATGCCTGTCACCAGCGACCCGGAGACGCTACAATTCCTCGCCGAGACAGGGGAACACGGTCCCCTTTTATCACCGTGGTTGTTTCCGCGTTATCGAGCTACCGAGCCTTCACACGGCCATCGTGATTGAATGCTTTGCGCTTTTATCGGTAACGGAGGCAACGCTTTTGCTATGTGGAAACGGGAAATAGTAGTTTTGATTACACAGAGATAACGATAAGTAGGTGAGATATTTTGGAGAAGAAAATTATGTATTTATTAATTTTTTTATTAACGCTTGTCTGTTGCCTGTTTACATTTTCTAACACTCTGTGCTGGATGTTAAATTAAGCTTCTTTCTACCAACTCGTAGCTTTACATAACAGAAAAGCAACATACTTCTCGAAAAAGGACATTCTTGCTACGGTTTCTTGTTCCCGCCTCCTGTCCCATTATCTCTTGCAGTTTCACAGTCGTACTCGTCTATAAATCTCGATCACTTGCCACGTGAAATTGCATCCTGCGACGATGTGATACTCTCACCCGAGCGTTCGTTCGTTTACGGTTGGATCGTGTCGCGAGGTACAGCGAATGGGAGCGAATGGACGAAACGAGGAGACAGCGAGCCGCGGGAAAAGTAAAATTGGAACGCTCGGCACGCGAGGTCTCGAGATTGCCATCTGCGACGTGGGTATGTCGATTTTCGAGCCGTGACAAAACCTCGACCTGTGAACCTCTTAGACGCGAGTATGTCCAACAATAAAAAATACGGATTCCGTAACTCGATTCCGTCACCGCTCTACTAATGATGTTTTGCGTGGCTTTCAACGTTGTCTCCGTTCCCTTAGATTCGGTGTTTGCTCTCTGTCTTCGAACGAAATATATTTATTATATTTTTGATATTGAAACGTTTCTATATTGACAAAAGCTTCTAATAGAAGCACTGAAAATGTTTTTACATCGTTACATAGAAGGAAGAGAGTATCGTTATACCTGGCTGCGTACGTCGCCTGCAAGTGAAAAGACATTCAAAGAGACAAGTGCAGAGTATAGACGGAACAAAACGCCGGCCTAATGGTTCAATTCTACGCTCAGTCGAACTCGCCGCCTCAGTCACAGATCAGTTGCACTCGCGTACGACGATCGTAGTACTAGCAATTAGCTATTCATCGATCGATCTTTCTCTACTGTTCGAACAACCTCGTTCCCCAGTCGTCTTCTCCGTTTCACCGTGCCGATCGGCGGTCTCGTTCTGCCAACAGCACACGCTCTTCCCCTTGTATCATTAGCATGCATCTTCGCGAACCTTTGGAAGACCTTGTCTCCGTCCAGCGAAGCATGGAAAATGAGAGTACTTCTTGCGGTGAGTTCTCGCGGCAGTTTGTTTCGTCGCTTTTTTTAACATGCCACCGAGAGATCTTGGCCTCTTGACAAATGCTTTCTACGTGTTTCTTTACGCTCCGTTCCTCCGCGTTGGCCGTTGGTTTCTTCGGTTCGGAAAAGAGGCCAATCTGCTGACACTGATCTCCTTGCCACGTTGCTCCGAACCTGAATCTCGCGCTCGTTTCCTTTCCTCGACGTTGTCCGTGTCGTCGTTGTTCCTGCATGTCCGATCGATCAAAACTCTGACAACACAACGTTTTTTCCAAAACGTTGCTACATTCGACACATCGACGTCGCCGTTTCGGTAGAAATCGCCGTTGCTACTTCGATTGTCGTAGGCAACAGGTGCGCAAACGTTGAAAGTATCTCTCTTCGACACGTGTCCCGTTGCACCTTCAGCTTCCTGCTGTTTCACCTCCGGTTACGTAGATGATTCGTGCGAGGTGGATACGCCTTAATCGTGCCTGTTATTTCGAACAAACTGTCTCAACCATCATTTTTGTACGATTTCCACAACGTGTCGCATCCTTTCTTGAACGATTCTTTTAATACGAGAATCGATCTATACACGGTCTATACACGGTTCGCTTCTTCTTCTCGACGGAGACGTTTTATCTTGATCGGTATAATTAAGTAGAGTCGGAAACGAACACGTTCGCGTGCCCCGGGCAGGTGGAACACGCGACAAGTTCACACGACGCTCATTTAATCAACAGCCGTTGGGTTTTACGCGCAGCTTGTCCCCATTAATTCGCGCTAGCCCGGTGATTTACGTTCTCGATGAAGCAAATCGGTTCACTCGGTAACCTCGTAGTTTCTCGGTGGAGAGGCGGTTCGAACAGAAGCGCGGAATCGAGTGAAATCGATCCGACCCAACAAGTTGAATAATTCGAGAACCGAGCCGCAGTCGAGCAACGAGCGTCTCGAAACAAACATCATCGAATCGTCGTAGAAACTCGAGTCGGCCGACGCGTTTCAAGCAGCTTCGAACAGATCGAGTTCAATTGGACTATCTTTTGCAACCAGCACGCTCCAGGCGTCGCTCGAATGACCGGGAAATCGATCTGGATCGATGTTTAGCTCGACTTCGATTTCGCATTTTCAAACGTTCTTTCGTCGGTTCGTCAATCGTTGAACGACGCGTGCTCTCGTCATGCTTCGCGCTTCAGTTGCACCGCTCTTTGACCAATCGTGAGAAGCAGTTTACGGAAAAATACGAGATTCCCGGGCAAAAATAGAGGAAAAGGCCTCGCGTCGTCTGTTAAGGAGCAATTAATGCGACGCGTGGGAAAGCGGACGACCGCTTTGCAGCCGCGACTTCCGCGATTTCGAAGCGCGGAGGCACGCGTTACGTGTCGTCCACCAATTACGGTGTCCATTACGTATTAATCGGCGTTGAAACCGTTATGGTGCACGAACGGGTCGAGGCATGAATCACTGTAGGCACGTCGTTCTCGCAGAACCTGGTAACAGACTTCTCTCCGCGGTCGTTCGCACCTTTATCAAGGACATTTGACCGATCATCGGCCATCGTTTTGCTTACACGCCGCTTCGCGCCAACGCAGCGAATTTTCGCAGCTGAATGAAATTACAGGCCAATCTTTTCGCGAAAGGCCTCGCGACAGTCGACTAATGGCCACCTTTGTTCTCCTCCTTGTCCTTGAGGTTACTGCGTTGCGTTGAATCGCTATGACTAACGCATAATTCCAGGCGCTGTTGTTTGAATGTTATCGAAACATTGGCGACGAATAAATAAAACGAACAAAGATAACTGTTCATCAGTGGCTCGATAATCGCGAAGGAATTTTATTTTCTGCGGACAGCGTTCAAAATATTTTGGAGTTACCACGAGCTCGCGCTTAGACGACTCGAAGGATCTCCAAATACCTGGCTTACGTGATTTTATACATATTTACGGCGATGTATTTCATCACCTATCGCCTTGTCTGGACGGACGTTTCGCTTTTCAAGAAATTTGACGCTCAGTCCACAGTTTCGCTTCTCGCTTTTCGAATCACGCGGTGTCGATTGTGCGCTTCTTCTGCCGAGTTTCAGTTTGCTTGACCGCAGCGTTAACACGCAGCGAATCGGCGCGAAAAATCGCAGAAGCGAGCAGAGCTGATTCGGTCTGTCTCCGATCTGCAAAGAACCTGTGAAAGTCGATGGATAACCACGTGTTCATGCTGCGTGCTTTTTTTTTTATTACGATGAAACGTGTCGTGATTCTGTCGCGCGAGCGTCGCAGAATTACGTAAAAAAAACTACTCTTTGCGTTAGGCTACCGTTCAGTGCTATGAAACGTAAAGTGAACGTTAGTTAGACTAACGTCGCTTTTGTAATACGTGTCAAGTACGCGGTTTGTCGTTTCGGATCGTATCGCACGAAATTTCAGTATTGCATTATTCGCCGAGGCATCGAAAGACGCGCGGCACAAAGTGTCGGGTTAACATGCTGGCGTCGACTATTCGACGTTGTATTAGGGATACCCGTAATGTCGATATGATGTCGTTGTTTTTCAAATTTCATAAACATTGCCATCTAGTGACAATAATTCAACTTGTAACATAACCTATGTTCTAGTTAAATATATTGACATTCAGTGTGCTTATTGTTAAATTTTGAAAAAGTTTGAGTGAACCCTATAGAAATGGAAGAGTAGATAAATGTCAATAATGGAAGTGTGAATAAATTTCATATTAGACCTTTGATGCTTTATGGGTTTCGAAAGCATAGCAATGCCATTAATGCTGTTACTCCTGGTGTATTCGATATCAGAATATGTCAGTGTTGGTTTAAAACACTTAAGAACTATAGTTTCAATCTTTTCGATGGTATAAAATCTGAAAGACCTGTTTGTTTTTACTTCAAAATCGCCCTCATTTTGCAAAAAGGGAATAGAAAGCTTGTCAGAAAGATGGACGAAGATTGTCAATAACTGATTAAAACTCTTAAATAATATTAACTCTTAAATAATGTAAAATTTTGTATGAAAAAACGACATTACTTATGGCGTGTTCTAAAGGACAATTTCTATCTACGAATAACGAGCCCGTAACTTTCAAGGATCATTTTCCTTTCGTTGGTCTCGAACAAACGCCTTAATTACCCTCGCGACCAGCTGCTACAAGATCGGTCATCGTGCACTTGCCATCATGCGATATCGTGCTTTTAATTCACGAGTGTCGTCCGTAGGGTAATTAACGTTGCTTGTACAATTAAAAGAGAGAGCCCATGTAGCAAACGGCTCCTCTCTTTTTATGGCAACTTCCTGCAAGGATCCTCCGCAGGTTGTGTCAGGGCGTCAAGGACGCGACATAATTGATCGAGGCCAGAGACGAAAGCGTGGATCATTGTTGCACGATCTCCCTGTACGTACAGTTCCTCCTAAGGGAACACGCACCCAGAGGGGAACCCGGTGTGAATAGTGAAAACGCAACGCGTTGGAAAGTCGGGACGAAATATATTACCGAGGGCGAGCGATAAGTCCACAGGTTAACGCTGTCGTGCGGGCTTGATAACGCCGATAACGCACTTCCCACGCGAAGATACGTGCTTTATCGTCAGTTTTCACCGAAACAAAGGCAATGCTTGTCCTGACTGTTACGCCAAAATTACCATTTAAATCGATACACTTAAATTTTCTCATTTCCTTTCTACTTTTCAATGTTTCCTTGAACCAGATACGCTTATCCTGTCTCTGAAATGACAATTACGAAAGACACATATGGGAGTATATTTTGTCTCGATGTTTGAACCACTGTCCCATGCAATTCAACATTCTTTTCAAGGATGGATATTTTCGTGAATGGTGATGTTTTATTAAAAATTAAAGCTGTCCTGAAATAATGGTGAAATAATGGTCCGTTGACAATGAGATGAGGAATCGAGCGATTAGCCCGAATTTTCATTGGTTACGAGAACGACGCAACTCCTCCTCGTTCACGCGTGCATTATAATAAATGTAAGCTATTACGAACTATAGTAGGCTGATGACTGCCATGCGTTTGTTCGCAGTGTGCATACTGCATAAACGCGTATGAATCACGGGGACCTTGAATGGAAATAAGCGTCGGCTGACGCGCGAAAGTGAATCCCCCGTTCATACAGCGAGGTGTGCAAGCCGAAACGACGCATCAGCTTTCGTTAATAATCGCGAGCCAAGAAATTCGCAAGGTTTCTTGCTAAATTCAGAAACGATAACCGCTCGAAATTCGAGTTTAAATTCGTGGAATAATCGTCGCGCATCTTTCGTGACGCAAGTCGACGAAACGTACTGGACAATTTCTGTAGTTGAATCGACTGAAAATAGAAATTGAAATGCAGGCGGTGATGTTCTTCGAGTGATTCACGAATCGTTTGTATCTTTTAGTCGTTGGAACGATCGACAGTTGATCACTGGGTGTGGTTGCCAGACCAAACGACAGAAGAATGATTGCGTTTCGAACGTAATGAACGATTGGAGCGAAGGACACGTCTCGTCGAGGATTCTATTTGTGATAAAGATGCAGATTCTTTCGAGGCTGGTTGCTTGTTTATTTAAACTTTTACCTTCGAGTCTCTTGCTATTATTCGAACGAACGACAAGTTGTTGCCAAAGGTGCCTGTCACGGATGATACTTCGAGGTTTCTTGATTTCTGAAACCATCCGAAGTTGCATTGTCCACGACACCGTTCACCTTTCCCCCGAACATACGAATGGACGTAAATTTGATATCCGTCGCGAATAAATTTCGATCGGCGGCGAAAGGGAAACGTTTACATAAAGCACTTCCATTTCCTATTTTTAATTCAACGGGCGCAAATCTTTCCGACAAGATCGCAAGCGCTGATAAACAGCGGCAAAGTAGAATGAAAGTGTGGCAGTGGAAAGTGAACAGAAACCCACTCTTCAGCTTCCTTTCCTCCTCCGGCTTCTCTTCGCGCCGCTTCTTCTCCATGAAAATTCGATCGTCGCGGCGGAACGTTTTGTTCGAAGAACGGAGTGCCACGT